TTTTTTCCTAAGATTCCAGAACATAATTGAAGAAAAGGAGGAAGATCTACCCAAAATTATGATAGAATTGTTAACAGACAAATTACAGAAAACAAAGCAAGAGTTACAAGGAGATATAGATTAAGTGTACAGGATACACACAAATTATGCAAGGAAACACAGATTGCCAAGAGATGTACACATAAGATTCACAAGAAAGACAATAAGAAAGGAAGTGTACCAAAAAACAAGGGACAAACCTATGACATATAAAGGAAGAGAGATTCATACAATAAGACAGGTACATAGAAGGATCAGGGAACAGAATAAATATAATGTGATGTTCATATGGCTGCTCCTGGAAGATATCTTGATTACATGGCAAGATAAAAAATTTAGGATCGACACACCTGATAAAGCACATGAATTTTTCGACCAGTACTTTACAACATATATTAAATAACTATAGACAAAATTGATAACACAAATTAAGATGGATTTGGATAATTAGAAAAAATTACAACTCTCGCTTACAGGATGAATTGCCCCAATAAAAATGAACATATTGCCAAAAATTCTGATTCTGTTCCAAGTGACACTGATAAAGTTAGGAAAGAAATTTTTTGAACATTTAAACAAATTAATAGCAAAGTTTATTTGACTGGGGGAAAAACGTGAATAAAGCTAACATTGTTACAGGACAGTAGAAAGACAGGGGTTTTTGCTCTGCCAGAGTGGGAATTATATTATACAGCAGCTGTCCTTACATGGGTTAAAGATTGGGTAATGTTGAAAAATAAAAGAATATTGACAATTGAAGGACATGACTTACGAATAGGATGGCACACATTTTTATGGGATGGGGAAAAAAAGACACACAGTTATTTTCAAAGATACCAAATAAGAAATGCATTGCTATTAATTTGCGAAAAGTTTAAAAGGAATCATTATGACAAAATTCCAAACTGGTTATCAACTATGGAGGCATCAATATATCCAAATGTGTTAGTTCCAGATAAGATCATTAAGGTATAAGGATATCTTAAATGAGCAAGGGATATTAAAAATGAAACAAGAATTAAAAAAGGAATCAAAGTAGAGTGGTGGACATGTATGCAAATACAAACAAGATTCAAGAAAGAATGTAGAAAGGTATGGGATTCATAGAGAATTATCGCAATTAGATAAGATACTACAAGGTCCAGAGGAGAAATTGATTAAAAAATTATATAATTATTTGTTGGAATATAAGATGGAGAAAGAGAGGGTTAAAGAAATGATGATAGTTTGGGTGAAATTTTTTGGCTACACAACAGAATTGGAGAAATGGGAAAAAATGTAGGAAAAGAATTATAAATTGACGATGTCGGCAGCATATAGAGAAAATTTATAATTAAAATGTTCTACAGATGGCACCTACCCCCTGCTAGATTAGCAAAAATGCTCCCAAACAGATCGTCTGAATGTTGGAAATGCAAACAAAAGCAAGGAACATATTACCATGCGTGGTGGACATGCCCTGTAGCAAGAAAATACTGGATAAGGAAAAAAAAATGGATAGAAGAAACATATAAACAACAAATTGAACTAAGACGGGAGACTTTTCTATAAGGTATAATAACGGCAAAATATTATAAGAAAACAGAATATCTAATGCTACATCTATTAATTGCAGGAAGAATAACTTACACACAAAATTGGAAAAAAGGTCATATGCCACTAGAGCAGGGGTGGGCAAACTACGGCCCGCGGGCCACATCCGACCCGTTGGTCTGTCCAATCCGGCCCGCCGCTGAAAAAAAATCGCTGGGTGTGGCGTATTGCCCTGTGCCGCGTGGCCCCCAAAGCTGCAAAACAGTGCGGAGCGCTCTTGGGGTAGGAAAGAAAAGAACTTTGCAAAGGCCTCGGCTGGGAGTTCGAAATCACCTTCGAGTGCGACCTCTCTGAAGGTGAGTCCCCGCCGATCCCCCCTTTTTTTCCGGGGCTTCCAGGCTTAAACTTTGCAAAGGCAAAGTTTGCAGGCTGGAGCGTCTTCCTGCCGAGGAGCGGGAAGGGTTCTGCCCGGCGGGCGGGCGGGCTGCTTAAACTTTGCTCGGGCGGCACTTTAAAAGCCTGCTCCCAGCACCCGAGCAACTTCCCAGAAACTTTCGGCTTCCTTTTAACTCGCGGGCGCTCGCGCCTGGCCCCGAGCCGTGCGGCAGAGGGGAAGCCCGGCGGGCGGGTGGGCTGCTTGGAGGAGGCGACCCGGCGGTGCTCCGGCAGCAGCAACAGGCAGTTCCGCCCGGGCTCCGCTCAGGTGTCCGGCTGGGGCTGTCAGGAGTTGCTACCGCCGGCGCAGCTCCACGCGGCTCCAGTCCCGCGTTGCCTTGGGAAGGAAAAGGCAAAACCAGGAGCCGCTGAGCCTGAGCCTCCGGTGCCGCTGCTCCCGTTGCAAAGCACCACTGCGGCTCTTCCTTTTTGCCTTTCCCTTCCCGAGGCAACGCGGGACTGGAGCCGCACGGAGCCGCGCCGGCGGTAGCAACTCCTGACTCAGGGGGCCTCCGCGGGGGGGGGGAGGAGGAGAGGGGGGGGAAGGGGGGGAGGGGCGATTCCCAAAAAATCTTGTGCTGACCCGGCCCGTCTGTCAAATTTTAAAAGTCAATGCGGCCCCCGAGCCAAAAAGTTTGCCCACCCATGCACTAGAGGAAAATGTGATAAAAAAGATGCTAGAGTGTGTCGACATGGATAAGTTGACCATGGAGATAAAAGACAGAGAGGAAGTGGATTATTTTTTGATGTGGAATGCATTGTATGATTGGCTAAATAATGGATATGGAGATAAATAGAGAAGATGACAAAAGGATAATAAAGCAAAGGCTATAGTGGACAAAGATAGATTAAGGAACATAGACAAATGTACAGATAATTAATATTTATATAAATGTATGTATACTGTCACGGAAGTGTCGCAATGAATGGAAATGATGTACTGTATATACGAAAAATTTTTTAATAATTTTTAAAAAAATTTTAAAAATTCATTTATTATTAAACTTAATTGCTGGCCATCTCAGAGTTTGAGTTTGAGGCAACTCTGTGTGTCTTGTCTTGCCCTAATGTTCATAGCAACACTGACAATACCCGTTTTTTACATGCCAAATGCTTCTGATAATTCTAACATAATGCATTTTGAAAAATGAGACATTTTCTATTGTACATTTTTTTCCTCATGTTAAGGTAGCAAAACAGAGAGGTTTGTCCCTCTTCGGTGTCATCAGTGTGGACAGTGTGGCAAAATGGCAGCCGCTTCCCCAAGTCCACCGCATGACCCAGGGATGAATCCAGGGCCCATTGAAAATGGTGGCTGTTTCCAGGACATAGTCATGAGGCCCAAGGATGCGTGTCCTTCCCTCCCTCCACAACAGGAGGATCAGAGATCTTCCAAAGGTAAGGAGGAGGAGGAGGGTATGAGGCCTGGTGGGGTGGCAGTCAGGCCTGAGGACTGCAGGGACCCAGCGGGAGTGGGGAAAATCCTGTGTGTATGTGTGTGTGTCAGGCATGATATTCCCCTCAGAAAAAAAAATCGGGGCCGGCCAAAAGAGACCCCCCCCACCGCGTGCCGCTCGCCCGCCCCTCGCACCGGCCGCCCCGCCGCCGCTCACACCGACCGCCGCTCGCGCCCCCCCGCCCGCACCGACCGCCGCACCCGCCCGCCGCTCGCACCAACCGCCGCTCGCCCGGGCTCCGCTCGCACCGACCACCGCACACGCGCACGCCGCTCGCACCGACCGCCGCGCGCTCCCGCCGCTCGCCCGGGCTCCGCTCGCACCGCCCGGGCGATTCCGAAAAAAATCGGAATTCCGATTTTAATCGGAAAAATATCATGCCTGGTGTGTGTGTGTGTGTGTGTGTATACATATACATATAAATACACATATATATACATTATACATACATACATACATGCATACATGTCAGCGTTTTGCAAACCTCCATTCCAATCAGTAACTCTGAGATAGACGTCATCTCAAAAGTACCTTTATTAGAATAGCACCTGGCACATCTGTGGAATCTCAAAACTAAAAGTTTCCTAGACTTGCACAATGTCCCAAACTGCAAACCATCCCCTTTACCCTCATCATCACATCACATGAACCAATCCCAAAGTAAGTTCCTTTTTGTTTCTGCGCCACATTCTATGACCTTGAACTAACAAAATCATTGTATTTTGTCTACTAAGAACTACTCAATTAAAATCACCCCCTCCCATTTTCTCAAGCTATGTGGCAGCGTTGAATAAGGTTTCCAAAGCTGACAGGCGTCCCCCCTTGAGAAGTTCACCTCCTATAAGAATAAACAAAACACAACCAAGGGTTAATGCGATGTCCTTAACCCCCTCTCCACCCTCCAAGAGGACCCTTCAGTTTGTTAGGGAATTCCTCATGGAATTGGTTAACTAATCTATCTGCCTGTACATCCCAACTTTTAACCCAAGTAGCATCTGATACAGGGTAACCCTTCCACAATACTAAGTATTGTAATCTCCCTCGTTGCAATCTGGAATCGAGGATTTTCTTGATTTCATAATGTTTCTCACCCTGTACGATCAAAGGTCTAGGAGGAACTGTTGGTATTGGCCTTAGATATGATCCTACAGCTGGTTTCAACAAAGTACTATGGAACACTGGGTGAATTTTCCCAATAGGCGGGGAAGACTTAATTGGACTGTGACTGGATTGATTACTTTTGATATAGGGAATGGACCTAAGAACTTAGGCCCCAACTTCTTACTAGAAAGTTTCAATTTGAGGTATTTTGTTGACAAAAACACTTTGTCCCCTACTTTAAATGGTGGTTGGAGGGATCTATGTTTGTCTGCCTATTTTTTTTTTTTTTTGTATTCCTCAGCAGCTTCAGCCAAAGCTTTTTTTGTATCCTCCCAACCCTTTTTAATGAGTCCATCCATTCTGTTAAAAGACATGGAGGTGGGGGGTTCTCTAGGTAGTTCCGGCATAGGGACAAATTCCATGCCGGTGTTAATTTGGAATGGAGTCAAACCTGTGCTGCTATGTACTGCATTATTGTAAGCCACTTCTGCAAATGGCAATAGTTCCGCCCAGTTTTCCTGTTGATAATTTATGCAGCATCTAATGTATTGTTCCACCATGGTGTTTGTCCTCTCTGCTGCCCTGTTGCATGCAGGATGGAACGCTGAGGATAGTCCTTGGGATGACCCAATGGACTTCAAAAACACCCTGAAGAACTTAGCGGTAAACCGTACACCTTGGTCTGAGATTACCCTACACGGTACTCCATGGAATCTATAGATATGCTTCACGAATACTTTTGCAAGCTTTTTTGCTGATGGTAGTCCTTTACAGGCTGTAAAATACAGGTTTGCTTAGAGAATAAGTCGATAACAGTCCAAATGACTGTATTCCCTCCACTCTCAAGTAATTCCATGATAAAGCCCATCGCCATTTCTTCCTTTGTTGGCTCAGCTACTTGTCGGCTTTGTTGGCTCAGCTACTTGTTGGAGGAGGCCAGGGGGCTTCCCAGGTCTGTGTTTCATCATGGCACAAATTGAGCAGCTTTTCACATAGTCCTCAACCTCAGGTTTCATTTTTGGCCACCAGAACTGTCTTCTGACTAAATGTAGGATTTTTAAGAAACCGAAGTGTCACCCCCAACCGCGACTCATGGCTACGTTTTAGTACCATTAGTCTTAGATTAATGGGTACATAAAATTTAGTCCCTTTCCAAGCCAGTTCCTCATTGTCAACTTGGTTTGATGCTCCACAAACCAGGGGTCGGTCAATAGGGCTGCTTTCAACTCAGTTGTCAGTTTGTCTTCTAGGCGTCTGGGGTTGCGGTTGGCTTGGCCTCAGGTGATTACTTGGCCAGCCAGTTGAGCTTCTGATATCATAGTCTGCACTATTCCTCTCGGCGACTGCCGAATTGGGGTTTTCTTGACAGGGCATCCACCAATATGTTTTTCCCTCCAGGGATATACTTCATGTTGAAGTTGAACTGCTTGAAATATTGAGCCCAGCAGACTTGTTTGGGTGATAGCTTCCAAGGTGTCTTTAGAGCCTAGAGGTTCTTGTGATCAGTCCACACCTCAAAGGGCTCCTCCACCCCTTCTAGGAAATGCCTCCAAGTCAGCAACGTCCATCGCACTGCAAATGCTTCTTTCTTCCAAACTGCCCATGTTCGCTC